TCCTTGGGAGGCTGAGGCAGTAGGATCTCTTGAGCCCAGAAGTTTGAGGTTGCAATGAGCTATGATGACACCACTGCACTTTAGCCCAGGCAACAAAGCAAGACCCTGTCTCGAAATTTAAAGAAAGAAAATTAAATGCATAATAAGTACACTGAATAGTTTCTATAGATCTAATTTTATCTCTAAAGTTGCAATTTTTCATTTTTAACTTTGAAACATACACATCTGTTCATCTTAGTCACCAATAAAACTTTGAAATTTATTGTGATCTTCAAGATAATGGTTCCTTTAGATATTAAACAATATTATTTAATATATTCTCCCTTCTTTGAAAATTGAGTATTTGATTTTGAATGTTTTGTAAATAGGAATATTTTTAAATGATTGCCTACTACAGTAGGACATTAGCAGGTAAAATGTTCATCATTTATTCAGCATTTCTTAACTGCCTACTATGTATTATATTAAGCAATGTGAACTACAAACACAAAACAAGACTTGCCTAATAAGGGACAAAACAGGAGTTTGAACTTAGGCCTTTTGACTATCAGACTTACTACTATAAAACAATGCAATTTTACCTTCTCTGAGATAAACTAAAATAACGGTATTAAGATCGCATGTTTTCTTTCACCAAGATTCAGTTTTCCTTATCAATGTCTTATATAATTAATATTGATTTCAAGGGAATATAGAATATGCTTTGTATCAAGCTAGAGGATAAATTTAAACCACAATTTATCAAGAGTATAGTATATTCTGGAAGTGTTTTTTTAAATAATTTATTTCCAGTTTTAGAAACAGTTATTTGTGGCTTTAGAATTGGACTTTTAAAAGGCTGTTGTAAGGAACTTTATCTGAAGAATGCTACATTTGAAGGGGAAAGTAGGACACAGAAGAGCTATGGACCAAAACTATGCATTCTGAATTGAACTATCCAAATTATAAAGTTGTAGGGAAATTCTGAGCCTAAAAATTAATTCTGAAAAATAAGTGCTGCTTCTTAATCAGGTTAAATATTTAAGAGATATTTTCCCACTTTTAAAAAAGGTTGAAAACAGCATCTAAGGTTCACATAGCCCCTTCAAAATGATTTACACATGGCATAGTATAAAAGGGACTTAATGGGATTCTGAAGCATTATATTAATATTTTTTCTTGTAGCACATACACAATTGTATACCAAAGTAAGCTATTTTGAAACTATTTAAATATATCTACTTTCTTACTATAAGATAAATGTCAGATATTTATATCTCACCAATAATTAAATTAACTTTATAAAAATTCACAAAACAGAGAGCTTCCTTGTGTTCCTTGCCTTTTGGATACCTTTGATGTTAGTGTTAAATGTGTATAGTCACATGGTTTAGCTTGGGCTTTATGCAGGAAAGCATAAAAATCCTTTATTGCAACATGCAGTAGGGCATCAGCACTTTTTAATTGTAGCAATCTCTATGTATGTATGGAACTGTGAGACTGCTTAAGTTTCGACTCAGCTTGAAATTAAAACTATAAAAACTACTAAGAAGCCTGAATATATCTATTTTAACAATTTTCTCACCAATTTATAAGGCTTTCTGTGCTTCTAAGGAAACTAATGTTATTATTTTTCTGTGTTCTATAAGTCCTCATTTCAACCAAAAATAATGATTTTGTTCATATGCAGACGGTTTATTAAGATGAATTTTCAAGGATTTGTGTTTCACTTGTAGAAATGCCACTCATCATTTTGCACTTTTCCTCACATGGTATTTTCTTTCTTTAGGACTATTTCATGTTTAAGCATTACATTTATAGCCAAATTAGAGTACAAAGTAACAAGAGAATAACGGTAAATTTGTAAGAAGAACAGAATAGCAAAATGGAGGCTTCTACAGGATTTTATCAGGAGATTTCAAGAGCCTGAAAAGCAAAATTATTAAAGCTTTATTGAAAAAGGCACTTCACCTTAGTAGTTAATTGACCTGCCTAATGAGATGAAAAATAGATTATGTTGGGAGAGAGGCAGTTAATGAAGCAACCCTAGAAATTCTCTATGCTAAAATAAAAATCCTTGGCAACTAAGCCTTTGTCAAATTGTCCTTCATTATGTAATTATTTATCTGACTTTTATATAATGAATAAAAGCTGTACTTAGCACAGATGTTAAAGTAGGTTCCAGACAAGAAAATTATATGTTATATTGCCTTTATTCCACCTTTGCCTGTAACGATATTAATGTATCTATAAAGTTAAGTTCTATAGTCTCTGCACTTTGATTATTCAGTATCTTTATTGTATATACTAAAAAGGATAAATGTATCTTCATGAAAAAATAATTGTGATGCTATTCTTACTCTTAAATTTTGGTTCTTATGTAACTAATTGGTCATAGTATCTTTTTTTTTTTGAACTTTGAAAACATTATGCTAAGCGAAAGAAGCCGGACACAAAACGCCACATTTGCATGATTACATTTATATGAAATATTCAGAATAAGTAGAAAGCAGATCGGTGGTTTTCAGGGACTGTGAGGAGAGAGGTATGGAGAATGATTGCTAATAGGTACCAGGTTTCCTTTTGAGATGATAAAAATATCTTACAACTAGACAGAGGTAATGGTTGCACAATATTATCAATGTACTAAATACTACTTAGTTGTAAACTTTAAAATGGTTAATGCTTAATTTTATGTTATGTAAATTTTACCTCAGTTTTTAAAAATGTGCCTATAAGAATTCAAACAGCATGCAGTTTACTCCCTTATTTTACATATTATAAGAGGCATACATATTAACAGAAGACATGGCAAAATAAGTATAAATAATTACAAATTATGACTGTTATCAAGAAAATAAACAAAAAGGACAAAATGGATAAAGATCAAAGATTTCAGCCATAGGCTTGCCTGAAAAAGTTATTTGTAATGTGTGTGACTTTGAACCCATGTCTGGGCCTCAATTTCCTGTGGTGACATGGTTTTTATTCTCTCTTACTCTTTTCCTCTTCCTTACTCTTGGAGTCTCCAGAGGTGAAGTTTGAAAGTGCTCATGCTACACCCCTGTAATATTCTGAAATTTAAAAAAAAAGGAAAATAAATAAATAAATACATTTTATTTAACTAGTTAATTGAACTCCCTCTACAGTCTTTTGCTAACTATAAATTCAGAATAATTATTTTCCTTTTTTGGGTAGAAGGTGATCAATATAATTTTACTATTTTTATTTTTCTAGCTTAATATTCCTGGAATATTAGAGTTGAGGAGGCCCTGACTTGTGAAATTCTAGTCCAGTATCTCTCTGATCATAGTATCTTTAAGTAACCAAAGGTTTAAACATGAATTCAGAAGTTAATTTTAAAATGATAAAAGTAATGACCAAAACATAAGGGGAAAAAATGAGTTCTCCAAGTTATAAAAGGAAATTTGATTCCTTATATAATAGAGATAATTTAACCTGTAAAATAGAAATCCTAAAAGAAAGGTAAAGGAGGCACTCGATCCTATATAATGTTGACTTATAGGGGGATAGGAATTTTTTAAAGTGTTTATATTTTAGGGAATCTAATACCAATTGATTTTTGTTTCAGAACAAATAAAACTCCCTTCCCTCAATTTGTACTGAAGGGCAGTTATCTACACACAAGATTGGATAAATGATTAGTTCTACACCTAAGTTGCTGCATAGCTATAGAAAAGATAGAGGTGGAGCAGTAAACCCTATTAATTTGACATACTATGTGCACTAATGATTGGAAATTCTGATGAAAGCGAACAGATTAGGGGATGAGAGGGAAAAAATAGAGAGAGTGTATGTGTGTGTGTGTGTTTATTGGCCAGTCACTATTGTTAAATGTCACTAAAGGTTGCATTTTAAATCTTGACGAATCTAGCCATTAGAATGAGCTAGAGAACAATGACTTTTGCACTGAATGAAACCAATCTGTAGTGATACAAGAGAGATTTAAATTAGCCTAAGGTGCTTGCCACTGTTGAGTAGATATTTTAAAACTTTGATTTGGTAACTATTTCCTATATCCCTAACCTAAGAGAAAATGACACATTTTCCTATTAAATACACTCCATATTTCCTTATGACTTCCCAACATTTTCTTTTCCAGAAAAATCAAGTCTTTAATTTACAAAAAGCTATATTCACAAGTAAAAAGTCTTTTAAGACTATATCCAAGAAAACTTGGTAAGGAAATGATGTAGGTAGTGACTAGAATTATGACAGAGTGAGCATTCTTTCACATCACTGTTACCAAGGAGTTGCAGAACCATAACAGTACACTTCATTTGGAGGACTTGCCTTGTTACAAGAGGTTTCCTCTTGAGTATCCTCTTTCTCCGCCTTCAAAAGAATCAGATTTTTCTTTCCGATTTTTGTTCAAGTATTTATGGAATGAAGGATTTGGACAATTACATCATATTCTTTTAATTGGTGCCATCTACACATGAAGTATTTGAACCTGGAAAGTATTTTATGTTTAAACATTTGGGTTTGAAGATTTGGATTATGTTTAGATATTTGGTTTTAGTTATCTGAGAGAGTTAAGGTAGATAGCTAGGTTCCTATTATTTGTAAAGGGATTTAGTTACTTCTTAAATCTATCTAAGCGATATGAAGTCTTATTTGGCAGTTAACATCATAGATTAGAAATCAATTGTTTGAACTTGATCTGAGTGGATCAAATAACGAATGACTTGTTTAACTAAACCATTCTTCATGCTGTGAAATGGAGCTATCTTTGCCTTCATATGCATGAGGAGTGAACAGTCATGTAAAGACCCTTGACTCCAAATTTTATACTCTCATTTATGAAGATCAATGGTTATTGTGAAATGTTGCCATAAGATAATTTCAGTTAAGTAAATATTTCTAGAGAGAAAAATTAAAATGGCTTTTCTCAGGAGTATTTCATTAGGTTTTGTCATTTAAAACCATGACTTCATCTGATTAAGATTTCATTTTCTTTTTAGAAATATCACTTATTGTGAAAGCCAATCTTTTTAGATATGACTGAACATGAGCTTGCACCTACTCTTACTGAAATACCTCCTGTAGCTCCCGTTATCAGTGGGAGTCCCATGCACCAGGTAAGGGTAATTTTTTGTTTTTATTATAACCGGTCAATATTTTCTTGAATCTAGTATTAGTTTTTATTTAGAAAAACTATGTCACTTTTTATGATTGGTCACTTGTTTTGGAAGCGTCTAGTCTTTTCACCAACATTGGTTTATCTTTCTCGTAGGAATTTTAAAATTGCTTGAGACACTTAAAACTAGTGTTGAGGCCACATACAACTAGTTTAGGTCACATACAACTTTCTTTGGGGTTGATTTAGCTGCTTTTTTCAGCCTCTCCTTGATCAGTTAAAAACTCCTGGTGTTGTGCTTTAAAATCTATACTACCACAGTTTCTTCTGATATATAGTTTAAAAATATGACTCTAATCTAATGCAGACTAAAGTTCCTTCATACTCATTCATAGCTAAGAGCTCAACTTTCTAATATTTAAAGTATTATATTTGAGAAGCAATTACTTCTATGTATAGGACTGATTTCCAGAAAGAAAAAGAGAGTGTAGTTCAGATTTAGCATTTGTTCCTTCTTTAAATTAATCTATTCAAGAGAAGTCCTATCTCAATATGTAATATAAAAAGATCACTAACTTATCTTATCTTATTTAAAAAGAGCAAAGATTGTACTGCTAGCTTACGTTTTGTTTGATATGACCACATCAAAAGGAACTGAGATAAAATGACCTTATTGAAGTTAAAATTACCTTTATTTTACTAGATGGAGAGTTATCCTCTGGATACCACTGTCGCAACACAGTATACTACTAATTATTCACAAATGATGACTCATCCCAAGAGATATACCAGATGGCCTTCTTGTCCTCAGTACTGGATACAACAAGTATGTCTGAATCTTACCTTCAGATATGTTTTCTGTGTTTTTCATTTTGTGGGTTTTTTTTTCAATGGGGGTGGAGTTGGGCTTTCTACCTCAATACACTTGTTTTCTATGACCTTATTATGTTTAATTTTACTTGGGTGGGGGAAGGCCTGATCTTACTAAAGAGTATTGAAATTCTTCTGAGTGTCTATTGATCCAATTGTACTCTTCTCCTTTAGCATTTTAAGAGCCTCATAATTACAGCTGGTCAAAATTTTCTTGAATCTAGTATTAGTTTTTATTTAGAAAAAGTATGCCACTTTTTAATGTTATTCAAAAGGATAATAATAATTTTTCATAGATTAACAGGAAAGTATGTCATTAAAGAATTGTTTCTTTCCAGGTAATATTGGTGCAAGTTAACCCTGGAGCGACCCTCACTATCAAGTCTGATGATGGGAACATTCAGAACATTCAAGGTCAGTTAAAGTTCAATTAGACGTTTTGTTTGTTTGTTTGTTTTTTGTTTTTTGTTTTTTTAGGAGAAGGAAAGATAAGTTTATTAATTTGCTGGCAAATGAGGATGTTGGCTGACTCCAGTATTAAAGTACCAACATCCTGCTTCTGAGCAGAAATGCAGCTTTTACAAAGGAGGGTTCTAATTAATCCCATCTCCAGCTAAGACAATCTCATGACCTTCACCTGGACAACTCCCTTGACCCATTCCCTGTGGCACAAAGAACAAGGGACACTCTCCTGCCCCTCCTGACCACTGGCTTGAGGCAAAGATATAGGTTTTAGTTCTCAAAAAGGGTGAAGGGGTTTTGAAGAGACATAAAACATTTTTACCCTTTTCAAGCCATTCTCTCTGTTATATATTCCCCACTGTCAATTTTACCCTCCCATATCTATGGGAGGAAGGGTGACATAGTCATCGAACTACTTCCTGCTGAATTGTGGCAATGTTTTAGATGAAAGGTATAGATTATCAGGTGGAAAAGGACATAAGCAATAGCTTACAACCATGAGGATTGACAAGGTGAAAGGGTTTGTTGCCTTGTATACAATGTCTGATACAGGGCTTGGTTAGAAAAGAAACATGGGGCCTCTGAGTGCAGAGCTATTAGTTGTACCCTGTAGGTGATCCAAGAGACTGGCTTCTGCAAACTGAGAAACCGTGTACAGAAATACTTGCACCAAATGGGGTTTAGAATAACATACCCAGCAGCAAGTCAGATGGACAGAAGAGAGAATAGTCCCAGGAAATCCTCACTAAGGAGTTGTCCTCCTATCCTATAGACAGAATCAAAAAGGATTAGCAAAAATAACAATATTTTCTCTCTTTTTTTCCCTTTTTCTCAGATACTTTAGATTGCCTAAGGCTGGCCCCTCCACTGGGGGCTACATCTCTTTACTTTGGTATGATGGACCCAAGGTTTCACTTCTGACAATTTTAATGACCCTCATAAGAGGCTAAACCAAAGCTCTGGGTAGGAGATGAATCTATGAGAATTCTGTCTCCATTTAGCTGTGCCATCCCAAATGTCACGATGCCAGTCTTTAGTTTTTCATGGGGTCTAAATCTAGCTGGGGTATCAAGGCCCTGAGGAACAGACCACCTCCAGTGGCCTACTTAGCAGCTCTGCCAGTGACCTGATTTCTTTTTGTCATGCTAGCCACACACCTGGGCTCAGCTACAGCCTATATTAGGGCCATTATCTTGGTGGTATAATTAATATCCTTATTTCCTGCCATCAAGAGACCCCTTTCCTTCCAAATGGCACCATGAACATGAACAATCATAAAAACATTTAGTTATCTCTTTCCCTCTAGATAACTGAAGAGTTCTGATTAAAGTAATCGGCTCAGCTTTTTGGGCTAAAGTTCCAGTTGGCAGTGCCAATATCGTGACTTGCAGTATTATTCAGTGGCTTTAACAAATATGGCTCTGGCCATGGGATGTCTCTCAGTATCTATACTAAGTCTTCGAGGCTTATTCCTTGTTTTTTTGTATTATTTAAATTCTTTTTGTGAGTCAGGCAACCCCAAAGCGGGGGCAGTCATAAGACTCTGCTTTAGTTTTTCAAAGACATTTTGACAGTCGGTGGCCCAGATTAGGGGCTCCATAGCTATACCTTTAAGGGCCCCATGCAAGGGCTTTGCCATCTGTCCAAAGTCTGAGATTCAGACAAGACAGAACTCTGCCATTCTTATGGACCTTAGACAAGGAACCTGCTGTTTGTAAATATATCCAACCGCAAGTTTCACAAGTCCCCTGCTAAGCTCCCATCAGACAGGGCAGGAGAGCCCTTTTGAAGCCTCTAACATAGTCTAGCAGCATCACAAGTCCACCCCAGTCCCAGGATCCTGCCACTCCAATGTAACTGGGTGTCATTCATAGTCATTTGCACAATGCCGTTAGTGGCGTGTCAGTCCCGCACATATCCATACTCATTAGTATAGGGAATTTAAATTTTCTCTGTATGTCCCGGGGGTCCTGTCAGCCTATATATGGCCTTACTCACTTTGGGTAGCTTTCTTCTTGCCAATGCTGTAATGATGATGTGCAGGCTCACTGAGGCCCGAACTTTGAAGTGCAATGGCAGTTTCCTATATACTTCGCTAGGCCTTGGTATTCACCCAGTAGGAGCTTGGCAGCACCCCCCGGAAGTGAGCTTCTGCCACTTCTGAAACAACCCTCAGTGCTCCTGCTGATCACCCAGGTCCACCTCCTGGGCCCACTGCAACAAGTTTCTCAGCTGCTGCTTGTCTATGTCTGCCTCACTGCCACCTGGCCCCTCCCCTGCTGTCCCCTGCCTGGCCCACAGAGCACCAGGTGCAGCTGGTGCCAGGAATCAGGATGGCAATGAGGAGAAGGGGCTCCCTAGACCACTTCTGTCCACACAGCTAGTGCCGATTGAATCCCCATTGTCAATTTTGCCCGGGGCTCCTGTGGGGTTATTTGGAGGCAGGGGGCTCTGGGTCTCCTCCTTCGCTATCTGAGTCCCGGACTTAGAAAAAAAAAAAAAAAAAAACTATTTGCTTTCCTGGAGGCATCCTAGCACCCAGAGTCCTTTGCAATTTTGGGCAATGGTTAAGGTCTTTCTTCTCTACAAAAAGTCAGTCTGGGTTGGCTTTTTCACGCCATTCCTTTTGATTGTCTCAAAGGACCTGACGGCTGTTCTTGCACATTTAAACCTTCTATCTGATGTTGCCATAAATTGCCTTGCTACAGCCAGGGGCTCCCTCTGGCCCAAATTGAGTTTGCTGCCAGGAGAAACCATTCCAAACACCAAGTCATAATTTACTGGGCGTGGGACTGAAGAGTTAATTCAGGCGGAACTGTCCCTGGGCACCCCCCACCATGGTATCCTAAAGTGATTTTGAGCTATGTCTCAAGAATTTCTAAAAACATTATCATCTAACAATGGATTTTATATGGCTACTATATAAAGTTTGTCATGAACTCATATTTATTATTTTTCCAATTATTAAAAGTAAATTACCATTCTAGGACTTGAAAGCCACATATATTTTTAGAAGCAAGCACTAATTATAATAATTTCAGATAAAAGAATGATGACATATAAAAGTCTCCATTCTGTGTTGTATGTTTAGTTGCTATAAAACCATATGTTTAAAGATAGTAAGAATACCTAGTATAAAAGTAGGGTATCACATGAGTAGTATTGGGTCCTTGTCTTTATAATATACTGTTTTCTAAAATCTTTTTCACTTTAGTATTTTTTGTGGGAGCCCTTAAAATGAAAATTTATTTAAGTTTTATTAGGTAATGTCACTATAAAAATATCTTTTATGTTACAGAGTAAAATTTTTATTAATATATAGCCACAACAGATGAGAAAGAATCAATAAGTACAATTATACCAGAAGGATGATAGTTCATTGCCATTAGCAGTAAGACTTATCAACGTTTTTTATAAGTTTTACCCAATACCCATTATATGCCTTAGTTATTTTCCATTGGCTGTGATGAATTTTCATTGACTCATCTACACTCTGACCAAGTCCCCGTTATGAGTAAACAACACACACTTTCAAAATGGCTGGCTATTAAGCTTGGAGCTGGTTTTCACTGTGCAAAGTTAACTGGCTCTTGTAATGGATTTTGTTTAAAGTTATTACGGTGTTTATTAATAATAATTCTCTTTTAGGACCTGCTGATGTACCTCTGATGTCACCAAGTGGTACTTTGCCACCAATATATCTTCCTCCTGGCTACATGTCTCAAGTATGCTTGTATGGTTTTTATTTGGTGTTTAGCTCTAAGTTATCATTTAACATTTTTCATTATGTCACTGTATGATAGGAGAACTTCTGGGATACTATTTATTAGTTCACTTTACTGTTATCATCATTGCTAAAAAGCTATTGCTTTTAACCAAATCTTTAAAACCAGTCCTTCCTTAGATTGTCTTGTAAATGATGCCTAATTCATCTAATTAATTTGGATCTCTTAATATTCATTAATCCTCCATTGTTTTTTGTTTCTGGGTACTTTAACATATCTTAATTATCTATTAAAATTGCTGCGGTAATGGCCTTTGTAGTGTGTGTGCTTTAGTCCTTAAAATTACTTTATATTTTAAGTTCAGTAGTATTTCATTCTTAGTATTTCATTCTCACTTATGAAATTCCTCAAATGTTTATCAAGCATCTAAAATGGGCAGGAAGGTATGGCTTCTATAGAGATTAGTAAGATAGTCTGTGGCCTAGAAAATTCTATAATTGAGAATATGTCTTTTTCTGCTTCCTAATAGTTTTTGCCTTAGTGGCTTATTTGGTTATGTCTATTGTACAGCTGTGGAGATGAAGAACATGCTAAATAAGTCAATATAATATGGTTTAACTCTAAATGGAATTATCTATTGGACAATATCTAATGAAAATACAAATGCATATACCCTTTCTCCAGCAATTACACTTTAAGAAATTTATCCTACAGATATATTTTCACAAATTTTGAATAACAAATACACAAGATTGTCATTACAATACTGCTGGTAATCACAAAAGGCTGGAAACAACCCACATACCTAAAAAAGAAGGAAAATAAGAATCTACATTCTTATCTGCTTATATAGGCATAAAAAAATTCTGGAAGGATTCTGAAAACTAAAAACAGTAGTTATCTATCAGGGGGGCATTGAGCAGATAAGGGTTAGATGGGAAACTTAATCATACACTTATTTATACTTTATGGTTTTGAGTCATGTGAATATATTACCTAGTGTCAAAGATTACCTCTTTAAAATCAACATACATGGGGAAAAGGAAGAATTATCTTGCCTTCTCGACATTATAGTTTCACTTGATTACTGGTTTTTGATGCTTTAGGTTTCTAAATTAGGAACATATGATGTAAATCCAAAACTTAATAGAAAAAAAGCTGGTTTTTATGGATTCTAATATGTTTATATGATTCTGTCTTCCATCTTAGGTAGTAGAAGAAAATGGGATTCGCAAAATTGTTATTTTGCCTCAGACAATTGACTATAACGGGTCCATGCCTGCTTCTATACAACAAATATCACACTTCGTAACACCGTCCTCTCCTATGTATCCACAAGCCCCTCAGTTGATGTATCCCCCGACTCAAGGGGAATTTCCACCACCTTACACCCAAGAGTCTGTGCCACAGCAGCTGCCACCACCACCACCACCACCAGCAGCAACATTTGTATATCAAGAGCATCATGGTAGTATACGTTTTTCTTAAATAGGAAATATTTTGATTTTGTTAAAATTAGCAGCTTTGGACAATTATTAAAATGAAAAAAATGGAAGATAGTAACATTCCCATGAGTGACTGCATTTTGTACATGTATATTAACCTTAGGTAGTGGAAGAAACCTAAGATATAAATCTTTGGCAAAGTACTCATTAAACAGAATTTTCTAAAAATATTTGTTTTACTTTGATATAACATGTGATTTATGGTGCTTATTTTTACTTGACTGGGTCTATAAAATCAGATTGGAAAGTCATTTTAAATTTTTTTAATTATTAATGCCATATACTGGGAATATAAAAGACAGTGGAGGGTCAACATTTGAATCATCTCAAGACCTTTAAATTTGGAAGTGGAATTACTACCTAGGAAAACACTGTATTTGCTTACGTTTTTCTTTCTGCACATATCAATACATTATAAACACATACCTAATGCCTTTATTAAAGCAAAGTAAAAAATTTTTAAACTAAAGCATGGCTTATCAATGCTCTTTTTGTTGATTAGATAAGAAAGACCTTGAGATATGTAATTATTATAATTATTAAATATTAATAGTATTCCATTGTCTCTTTTAGAAAAATATTCACATGGAAGAGCAAATTACAACCAACTCGATGAAAGACCTGCTAAAATGGGAGAACATATGAAGAAAAGAACGAGAGAACGCCAAGTTGGTGGACACAAGAAGAGCTATACGGTTAACAACACCTCTTTGCCTGTGAACAAAACTAATGATCGTTCCAGTATTTCTGGTTCTCCAAACACTCACACCGTGAACTCTGCTCCAACCACCTACACTGACAATACTTCACACAATTACACTGTGGACAATGCTCCAAGCACCTACACTGTTGACAATACTTTGAGTACCTGTACTGTGGACAATACCTCGAGTACTAACACTGTCGACAATACTTCAAGTACCTGCACTGTGAACAATGTAAACACTTACACTGACAATACTCCCAGTACTGATACCATTGACAAACCTGCAAGCACTAACATCACTGACGAAACTCCCAGAAATTCTTCCACTGACCATGCCCCTAGCACTTCCATCTCAGACTCTACTCTGTGCCCTGCCACCACTGATAGCATGCCAGGCCCTTCCGACACTAATTCTGCTCCCCAAACTGCCATCTCTGATGGAACTCCCATGCAATCAACTACTGACAGTACACCCCTGCAATCAACTACTGACAGTACACCCCTGCAATCAACTACTGACAGTACACCCCACCCATACAATCAACTACTGACAGTACACCCATACAATCAACTACTGACAGTACACCCCTGCAATCAACTACTGACAGTACACCCAGGCAATCAACAATTGACAGTACACCCAGGCAATCAACAATTGACAGTACACCCAGGCAATCAACAATTGACAGTACACCCAGGGAATCAACAATTGACAGTACTCCAAGCTGTTCTATTTCTGACAGCACTCCTAATATTTCCATCTCTGAAAATGCTCCCAGCACTTCTGCTAGTGATAATGCTCTCAGTACTTCCAATGATGCCAGCATTTCCAACACTGCCAGTGCTCAGGTTGAGACTAGTCGTGGAAAGAAACAGAGAGCTACAAGAGGCGAGAACATCAAGCAGAAACCAGGTGGAAAACGAAATAAGAGCCCATCACCAAATATGGCAAAAAAAGGTAAGATCGGGAGTTTGGTTTTGTTGCCAGTGAATAAACATCCTAATGTTTAGGAATCCAGTGCATTTTTAATATTAGGCACCATTTTCTACTTTCATTTCCTCTTGTCTTCTTTGTACCCCTACCTCTAAATTCCTTTTTAAATGTATTATTAATGTTATTTTTGATTGACAAATCATAATTATATACATTTATGGGGTACACTGTGATGCTTTAATATATGTACACAATGTGTAATGATTGAATCAAGATAACTAACATATCTATCACCTCACTTATCTCTCATTTTATAGTAAGACATTTGAAATTTACTCTCTTAGTTATTTTGAAATATACAATACATTATAATTAAGACTGTAGTCACCCTCTGGTGCAACAGATCTCAAAACCTATTCCTCCTGTCTATCTGAAACTTTGTACCCTTTGATCAGCTCTCCATTCCTTCCCTCTCCCCTCCCCAGCCTCTGATAACCATCATTCTACTCTCTACTTCTGTGAGTTCAACTTTATTAAATTCCACATATAACTGAGATCATGTGGTATTTGTCTTTCTATTCCTGGCTTATTTCTCTTAGCATAATGTCCTTCAAATTCATCCATATTGTTGCAAAAGACAAGTTTTCCCTCTTTTTTAAGGTTGAATAGTATAAAAACCACAAACTGCCTTTTAAAATCATGAAGAAATGACTCCTCATGCAAAATGTACATGCCACATAATTTTTTCTAGTTACCTGCCAGTGAAACATTGCAAATTATTCTATGATCCTAACCAATTCATATGCTATTATTTAAATTGTTAGAATTTGTTTAATATTATACACTTTAGACTACTCTCTTCTTTTAAATCTTTTAATGTAAATTGCTATTAGGTGTTTAGTAGATCTCTTGGTGATAATATATTTGTAGTTGGATAATAGAAATCTAACTTCTTTCTCTTGGTTTTATTAATGTAATATTTTGTTTGGGGATGCTTTTTTTACTTTTAGAATGCAAAACGGAACATGGAAAGTCTTGCTGTTTCAACACTGAGAAACCTGTAGTAAGTAAAGTGAATATTTAAGTATTCCTTTGAATTTACTTTATCAATCTAAAACATGCAAATTCACTGGTATTTTTCTCTAGTACAGTTTTAGTTTGAAGCCTTTACCGGTTAAAACTTTATAATCTCCTTTAGCAATTCAATAAATAAAGATTCAGTTTGATATTGTCAAAGACAGGATTAATGGCTCATTGTTTAATCACAGTATTTAAGCACCTAATATGAGAACAATATACTTAACATTGAAAAAGACTTAGATAAAGACTCTATCATAACTTACAGATTATAGTTTTTAAGAATGCTACTTGAATTTTTGTTATTTTAGGTTTCTGATATTCAAACAAGATCTGCTGTTATTTCATGGAATCTGCATGGTTCTGAGGAATGTGATCATACTAAATCTCCTGTAACATTTGAATTGGCCGTATCTAACAGGGGTAAAAATGGAAAATATAAAAACGTGTATATGTAAGTCCTTTTCTTTTTAATAATTTCTTATTTCTCATAATTCAATTCAAATGTGCTCTCTAAATATATAGACCCCAACTTATACGTAGGTTGAGTTCTAAAGGTTTTTCTGCAATTTTTTCCAAACTTGAAATGCATTTTTCTACAGAAATAGTTTTCTAAATGGTGGTAGGTTGCCAGGCCAGTCCACAAAATTCACTGGATCATAAGTATATTAGAGTTGAGAAGGATCTTAAATATCAACTGGTCCATTCATTCACTTCAGTTTACAGACTTTCTGTTAGTCAAGTTTAGACTCAGGTAAGAAAAGATTCCTTCCAATTCCCCTTCTCATTTTTCACTTAGGTCATTTTAGGGAAAAATAAAGTTTCACATAATTGTAGGCCTTTGGGTACACAAGGAAGGTATTTACATTGCAACGGGAATTTAAGACTTGGGCTCTCCTAGGAATTTCCTTATGGGAGCTAATTATAAAGTGAAAGCTATGATAGTAGCAGGATGAGCCTAGAAACGTGCTCAAAAGATAGAACCAGGATTGGGGGGGATACAGTGGAGGACACAGCAGGAGCACCATTCCCAACAGCTTCTGGACTGGATAGGCATGTGTAATCTGAAAGACAGCAAGCTGAGAGAAGCACAGTGGGAAGGAAATCCCAAGTGGGGAAGAAAGAGAAATTCCTATGCCCACCGAACAACTAGGCAGTAAGTCAGACAGAGATAGTGGAGTTGTCTGTATCATACTTTAAAAAACATAACACATCTTAAACTTTATTTGCTAGAATTTTTCATCTTTATTCAGAGACTCAAAGTGAAGATCTTAATGTCATTAGCTGTATATTATGTAAAGTTTTATTTCTTTTAATTAGCAGCTAAAAATTTTAAATTTAAGAATTATAATACACATCTTCTATATTGGGTAGGGGAATAGGAAGATGTAAAATGTGCTGAAAAGCTATTTATAAAATTAATTTTTGCTGGGTGCAGCGGCTCATGCCTATAATCCTAGTGACTCAGGTGGCTGAGGCAGGATTGCCTGAGGCCAGGAGTTCAAGACCAGCCAGGGCAACATAGCAAGACCCCATCTCTAATAAATAAAATAAATAAGTAAAAATAAAATAGCTTTTACATGAATTTACATGGTGATCTTTTTCTGGCATTATGCACTTTACAAAAATCATTATTAGTTTTATAAAAATATTCTTGCCTATACCTCTGATCACCCCGAGTGGCCTTTGCTCAGAAGAAGTATCAGTCTTCACTTAGAAGTAGCAATCTTTTAGCTTTTTGTGGAGGATATTTTAGGGTCTAGAGCCTGAAGGAATTTCTTCAAGTGGTAGAGTACACCTAGGTACTTGTGACTGTTTGCTCAGGAAGACGCTGGGAGCACAGTCACTCTAGTGACCGTAGCAGATAAGTGTCCACCCTGGAAAAATTGCTGTGTGATGGAATGAATACATTTCATGTTGCATGGTGTCTTTGAACCTTTTCATATCTACACTATTGAAAATAAGTTAATTAAAGGCAAATTTGCACTATTACAGTATGAAAACTATGTAGTGCTAAATTGGTAAAATTTCATTTCTTAAAGCTGTATTAATTTGGCATGCAAATGAAGCGTTTTGAATTATTAAATCACTATTTTGCATGAATATAAAATGAGTTTAAAGTTATCCAGACTTCAAGGAGAACTGTACTTCTATTTTTGTTAGTTGAAGGTATAAAATTAGAACTGATTACTTAGCTTTTAAATATGTGCGAGATCCATTATAAACAAAGGTTATCTTCACAGTGGTGATGGAGTTACATTTACCCTACTTGATCTACAGCCATCCGTGGCCTATTTTTTAAGGTAAGAACTCCATCCTACACAACCTACCCCTATCCTGTATCCAGCCAGACTCCTCAGTCTGTATCAGTTCACTGCTTATAATTCCTGTAGTCAGCCTTGTCACTGGCCAGCAAAGTGGCCTTTCCTTCAAGCTTCAAAACAACCCCTCCAAATGCAGCATAAGTTCACTTTCGTTTAGAACAAGTGAGAGGGTACTTTGGGAATCATTATAGAGCAGCTGTTCAACTCTGCTTTATCCGTATATTTTTTATAATTAGCTCCTAGGAAATGTGTCTGTAATCCCCAGTTTGCAATTTGGTACATATGTTAAGATAAATATTTAAAAGCTTACAGTAATTGTCATTACATTTTTAGAGTCACAACTATAAGAGGCTCAGAACACAGAACTGTGTCTGAAGTGGCTAGCTTCACAACCCCAGGTTGCGAACCGGACCCTCCGCTTGCACCCAAACTGATTAACCGATCGAAGAGCAGCCTGAATTTACAGTGGAAAGTAAGGATTTTACTGCCAAAACACCTCAACATGTTTTCATGATTTTAAAACACTCTTTTTACTGTATCCTGAATTTTAAATAGGGAATTATGCATGCCTCATCTGACTTATTTCCCTAGCACTTTTTCTTCTCTGTAATAATCTTTTTCTTTCTACTGATACCAAGCATCTAGTAAATTGAAAAATGTCAATAAAAATTTCAATAATTAAGGGGGGGCAAGGGCAACATACGTAACCTAAACATCTGTACCCCCATAATATGCTGAAATAAAAAAAGAAAAAAAAATTCAATAATTAATAAAAGTTGAAGTATCAATTTCTATAACCTAAATTTAGTTATTTATAATTGTAGTTGTCAATAAATCTACCTCTCAACTTAATTAAGTCCTAGTTCTTTTCGTTATATACAATTTGGAAAACATAACAAAACATAGAATTCAGGCATGTCTTTTAGAATGTAAAAAGTGCATTTTGACTTTAAAACATGGATTGCATCAAAACCAAAATATAAACAGATTGATTTTATAGTATCTTATACCACTTTAAATGTATATGCATATATACATATGTGTGCATTATACATATATTCGTATTCTGTGTAAAAACAGCCCATCATAATTTTATTTTTCTGATACTTTTAGGGTTCCAATGATAACGGTTCCAAAATAAGCAGCTTCCTTTTGGAATGGGATGAGGTATACAGTTTTATTTTTTAAAAGCACTTGTTTCTGTATGATTATTAATGTTATGATGAACTTTTGTTGTTAATTATAGCATTTTATGATATTCTAATATTTTATGTCTATTATTAAGGGCAAAGGTGAAGATTTCAAAAGTTGCTATACGGGAACCATGAAACAGCACAAGATCCTTAAACTGAATGCTTCTACAAAATACTCATTCAGATTAGCTGCCAAAAATAGCTTTGGCTTGAGGTACATTGAATTATTTGCAATATTTAAAAGTCTGTACTTCAATAAGAAACTGAAGCTAATATTTTCATCTTATTTTTCAGTGGTTTCAGCGAAATAGCAGTCTTCCATACATCAGGAACCATGCCTCCAACGCCTTCGCCTCCTAAGCTAAAAGAAGCAGGAATCTGTAATTTGTCACTAGAATGGTGTGCCCCAGCTAACACAAACACAAATCCTCTTACTTATGTACTAGAAATGGAGGAAGCAGGATCTGTAAGTTTCCTTTTCATATGCTTTAATCTTCTACCTTAGTTTTAAGTATATTTTTTATGGAATTCATACTTAAAAACATTTTACATTTGATTACTTTCTACTCAATCAATTCAATCAGGAATTGCATGATTCCTGATCCTCTGTGTTCTAGATGGGACCAATGCAGAGCCAGGGTTAGGCAAGCCCACACAGGGAGATCTAAAGGTACCCAAGTCCCTGAAAATTAGCTGGCAGCATCAGCCATAACTATAGCATAGAGATCAGAGAAGTTAGTTCTTCAACTTTGGGTCTGTATCAGACAACCTTGGGTGGTCACACAGATCTTCAGCACCCCGACATACTTCTACCTTTCCTCATCTCCCTGGATTCCTGATGTGAGTGGACATCTATTTCATTCCATTCTGAACTTTCAAGTCTATACTGAATAGGCTAATCAATTTATAAAGCAGCTGTAAATTTTATGTATATTTTACCACAATTTAAATAAAGCAGCTCATATTGAGAAGTGTTTTTTGTTGCAAGTAATATGCTAAATGATTGCCTAAGAAAAATGAGCCCTTCAAAGTAGAAATTATCTTCATTTTTTATGTAGAGAAATTGAAGTGCAGAGAGACTAAGGGACTTGGTCAGAATCACCCACATGAAAAATAAGTTGAAATTAGATTTTGAACCCAGGCCTGCCTGATCCCTAAGTTCATTGTCTTTCATTTCCAGGGGTTAGGTTTTAAACCTAAATACAATGGAGAAGATCTCTTATGCACTGTAAGAAATCTTCAGAGAAGTACTACATACAAGTTTAGGGTATGTGGCTATAATTTATAAATTTTAGTGATATTTTAATATAAAATTATTCTCTTCACTAGAGAAAAATGAATATCTTTTTTGTTTAAAATTAAACTTTATTCTGCATTTAGTTCACTCAAATAACTTGCTTTATATTTACAAACTATGAACATTGTCAAATCAGACTTATTTCTAATGGTCAACCAAGGTATTCTCTTTTACTCAAATAGATCTTTGCCTACAATATGGAAGGAAGAAGCAACCCCAGTGGAGAAGTAAAATATACTACCTGTCCAGATAAACCTGGATCCCCTAGAAAACCATATATAAAGGGAAAGATTGATGCACACAGAGTAAAAATTGGATGGGGTATGTAATATTTTTGTATTTAAAATGTTCTGTCTCTGTCTTAATATTAACTATGGTGAAGAAATCTTCCTCCCTCAGCTATATATAATATATTATAAAATATTCTCTTAATCATTTGTTTATGAAATATTCTGTCATATAAATAAATTTAGTTGCAATCCATGTATTTTTTCTAGTTCTCTATTGAGTTTTCTATTGTTATCTTATTAATTCACATATGAACAAATTATTGAACTTTATATGTGTCCTTAATTATGGTTATTCCAAGTAAGATTACATCTAATTAGAGGTCATAGTTAGAAGGCGACATCAATAATAAATGTCAACTTAACAAGAAATTATATATATACAAATTGTTCTGTCTCTGAACTAGAGAAATCAACTTTATAGCACATATACCTAGCTTTTCAGTCTCTTCCAAATAACTTAAAATATTATTTAAATGCTTCATAATTTGGATTATGTTTTTATGATCTTTATTAATATCTGGATATTAATAAAATATTTTTATGTTTATATTTTTCCCTCTGTGAAAATTGTTTGTTAATTTATGGGATAACTTTCCATTGAAAGATTTTTAAGTTTATTCAAGAATAATTATGATTTTATTTTTCTTTTCAGAACCACCCAAAGATAATGGTGGAACATACATTTCAAGTTACAGTTTAGAAGTTAGTGAAAATTCAGATGGTAAGACATCATTTTTTTAAAAGATTTTATTTTGAAATAATTTTAGACCCATCTAGAAGTTGCAAAAATAGTACAGAGAGTTCCCATATAAATCCTTCACTCAGCTTCTCCTAATATTAATATCTTGTATAACCATAGGGCAATTATCAAAACCAGGAAATTGGCATTGGTACAATACTATTAACTAAACCTCAGAACTTACTTCAACATCTTCAGTTTTTAGTAACAAACCATGTTTATTTACTGATATATTATGATTTTATGGTTAATTCTACTGGGAATAAATTATTTAACTATTGGTAAATAGATCATTGGACCAAGTTAATTTCCAAAATGGTTATTTCTTAGTATATACATGAGAAAGCATGGCAACCCATAAATTTATAAGCTACCTATAAACAAATTGGATAAATTTGCTTATATCCCTTCAGTGAATCTCTGGAACATAATCTACAGTGGTGACACAAGGGAATTTCTATATGATCACCTGCAACCTGGTACTACATATAAACTGAGAGTCTTTTGCACTTCACCGATAGGCCAAAGCGAGGTGAGAAAAGATAGAGGGAAAGTTTTTAAATTGAGGACTGAAATGAACTGTATCATATTACTAAATGTTTTATAGCACAGAACTTTAATTCAGTATAGTCATAAGGTGTTTTGTATTTCTCTTAGCCTTCAGATGTATTGACTATACAAACACCTACTATTTCTCCTGAATCTTGCCATCCTCCACTCTTGAAAGGTAAAACAAAGTCCACAGAAACAAACCTTCAATGCGGTGAGGCTTCTTTATGTGATTTGAATGACAGAACCTAAATTTCCTGTTTTGTAACTTTTGATTTTTTATATATTAAATGTTATGAAAGCAAAGCAAATGATTTTCTTTTAGTACAAAACCAAATATTGCTCAAGCAAATTCTTAGTAATTGAAATTTTTAATGCAAATTAAAAAGTTAATTGATACAAATTAATATATTTTGAGTATTGTTACTTTAACTGTTTCAACATAGAGTCTTTTAAATTTATTTTGTGTCATATTAAAGAAACACCGTTAAAACTATTTGCAGAAAAAATTAAGTTTATTTTGTATATTTTTCTAGACAACTCTCTTGCTAACGGAAACTCTGAAGCAACTGTGTGTGTCGAAAATGCAAAAGGTAACGAAGATGACACACAAAGGCACCTGGGCTCTGAAGTGAAATGCACAGTGAGTAAATTAATTCCTGAAGAATCCACGGTTTCTGGTTAAAAGCAGCAAATATGGCTTGGGAAGTTATATTGCTCAGTTTGCCCATTTGTATTTAATTTCACTTTGGATGAATATATGCTCCTACTTCTTGTCAAGGTGGGGAATGAGCATGCCCGCACGATCATTCGTATGTTTGCTTATTTGTTCGTTTGTTTGTTTGTTTGTTTGTAGTTGGGATCTCATTCAACGGAGTGTGAAACTGCACCGGTCCGAAGCCCTCCTTCTCAATGTGGTACACCTGTGCTAACCTGCAAGGGCCCAACCTGTGTTGTTGTTAGTTGGGAAGTATGTTATCAATTTATTTTTATTAATTTTGGTGATATAAAAACACAGTAATTAGCTTAGAAATTTTTTGGTAAATCTAGAACTCTCTAAGGAGTCGGAGTTTAGAATTAGGATTCCACAAATCTTAGATCATGGTTTCTACAACACACCTAGGACCTGATACTAATGGTATTAGGAAGTCTACAGCAATGATGATCCTGCTCTCCAGATCCTATATTTGAGGGTAATAAATTTGGAAAACCAAATAGACTATAAATAAGTAACTAATTAAATTTTTAAAACCAAAACAAGAGATAATAAAATTAAATCAGTTTATAGAGTGTAGCACTTTTTTAAAAAGCTTCATTGGGAAATCTCTGGTCATGTTTATTTGCATGTAAGTCTATAGTATGACACATAAGAAATATGGCTAAAGTAATTAAGCTTTAGAAAAAGAACACTTTTTACATCCATATGAATATTTTCCTAAACTAATCAAGCTTAAAAAAAATAAAAACTGGCCTAAGTATTTAGTCATGTAAGTATCTATGAATTTTTCTTCCCTTTTTCCCCAACTCTAGCAGTGAAACAAAAGCCTTAGTCTGTTAATCATAAATGATAGGTCTGATTATATCACGGTATAAAGGCCAGAGAGTAATAGGGTTTGGTTTTGATCCCACTAACTAATAGTAATATTAAACAACATTAATATAAGTTTGTTCTTTTCTAAGTAACCCATTTGAAAATAATTTTAATAAATTTTAAAAAGGCATTTATCTAATATGGGGAATTAGCCAACTTTTCTTATTTTTATTTGAGCCTTTTAATGTTAATTATAGTGTTCTGCCTTATGTTTAATCATTTCTACACTTGTATCTCATATCATTTAATAGATTATAAGCTTTGTTATTGAAAGGATTGTGTTGTAACTCACACGGTATCTGAGAAAGGACTCAATTTCTGTGTTTGTTGCATCTTTCAGATTCCTGAATGCAATGGTGCTGAAATTACTGATTATAGACTAGAATGGGGACAAATCGAAGAATCAATGCACTTGATTTACACTGGCCCTTGCCTGAGCTATGAAGTGAAAGGTCTCCTTCCTGCAACTATGTACTTTTGCAGAGTCCAGGTAAACCTGACAGTTCCTCCAATGTAAGCAAGACAATAGCTATTAACCTATGCTATCCACATTCATAATACTGGCAGCATTTCTAGTGTAGAGATCAGAAGGGAGTCACAGACTTTCAAATCTTAAATATTGCTCATATTCAGTGACAACATTCTGACCTCCTTCACCTGGCATTTAGAACCTCACATAACTTGGCAGCTACTTTTCCACTCCAACTATTAATAAATCGGCCATTATTTTCTCTGCAATTCTGTGTTCCCCAAATTTCTCTGAACTTAGGAATCACCTGAAATCCTTGTTAAAAACATTGATTCCTACATCCCCTTCAGACCTATTGGATCAAAATTTCTAATTAACTTCTAATTAGAAGTTTGCTGATCTATATATTTAATAAGCACCCAAAGTGATAATTATCATCAATTAGGAAAAACTGCATAAACTCTTTATTCCAAACAAACAAGTCTACCCCGCCACCACCACCAAATATGCCTTGTACTATTGTTCATTCTGTTCTCTCTGCCTATCTTGTCTCTTAAAACCCAGCTCTTGCATAAATGTTTCTCTGATAACCATAGCTGGAAATGATCTCTTCCTCTTCTGAATTATTAGAATTGTAAGACTCATAACTTAAGCCCTAATACCAGGCATCTAAGCCCCATCCCCCAGATTGCCTTTCATGATTGAAAGGGGTTTTTTTAAATCCTTTGTCAGATTTTGGGGAATATCCCTATTTTTTGTATTGGAAAAAATGTTCTCACAATATATATTTACTAGTTAGGAGGTCATTGCAATAGTCCAAAGGATAGGTGATGAGGTTATGAACATTAAGGCTATTTCAATAGAAATGCTGAGTCATTAATGGATTTAAAAGATATTAGGGAGATAAAAATCAATGGAATATGTTCCTGCCAAGATGGAGTAGCCTCTTTGCTCCCAGATCCTCCCTCTTACAACTAAAAATCCCTGGATATAACACAACAAACAAGCATAAGATGACTCTGAAAGGTAGACAGAAGGCAGCAGACTGCCTAGGGAACTGACTACTTGAAGAACAACATAGTGGTGAGCCCCTGGGGTTTCCTAATTACCTCCCATAGATTCTAGAAAGGGTGCTAAAGAAGCCTCAAACTCAAAACTGCCAACAGGGATGGACAGAAAAAAAAAAAAACCTCCAAGAAAAGCTTGTTACCCCAGCGAAATGACGAGGAAAAGGGTAGCCTAACAACAGAAAATCCTTTTGACAATACTCACCTTACTCCAGCCAAACATTAATGGAAAAACTATAAACATCCCTGCTCTTCCCCAACTCCTGAGATTTCAACAGGCCAAGCAGAAAGCTGACTGACCATCCAACCCACCCCAGAAGCAAGCAACACACTCCAATTTCCCCACCCAGTGGTTTTGGCTGGGCCTAGCAGAGAGTTAACCTTCCATCCATTGCCTGGCAGAAACAGGTGGTACTCTGTTCCCATTTCCCTGCTGACTAGTGATGGTGTGGCCAAGCAGGGACCTGATGATCTTCTATACTTCTATACCTGATAGAAGCAAGCTGCAACATTCTATTAATAATTTCCCTGTGGAGGTGGTGTTTATTAGCAAGCTCAGCCTCCACCCCCACACAGTAGCAACAGACTGAACAAGGCGGTACACTAGCCCGCACTTCACTTTCCTCCTACCCCTGTGTCAGTGAGGTCCAATAAGGAGCAGACCTTCAAATCCACTTAGTAGCACTGAGATTGAAGGAGGCTATAGGAAACAATTCTGGTCAGTACTGAGGCTCCCTACCAACTCTGCCATCTGGTGTCAGCAGGGTGTAATGGAGAGCTCAGCTTCTACCTCTACTCAGCATCAACAAGGCAGATCCAGGTAGTGGGAAGCTATGCTATTTGGCACCCCAACTTTCCTCATTCCCCTCTCCTGGTATCATCAAGACCCAGCTGGGAGCTGTGCTTCCACCCCACCGGAACACAAACATATAAGTCAGTCTTCTACTCCCCGCTCCGTGGTATCAGCAGGACCCAGTGGGGAGCTGAGTTTACGCTCCCACTCAGAGGCAATGATTCAGTGCAAATAGTTGCCCCACTTTTTCTCAGAAGGTATCCACAGAGCCTAGACAGGAGGTGAACTTCCACCCCATTCAACCCTTGTGCTATACCTCTATAGAAATACTGCCTACTAAAAATCAATTAAATATGACCCAGAATTACACAATATAACATTCAAAATGCCCAGAATAAATAAGAAGTCATTTGTCATAGCAAGAGCCAGTAAAATCACAAGTTAAATGATAAAAAATCAATAGACTCTGAGATGAATCAGAAGTTTGAATTATCTGACAAGGATTTTAAGCAGCCATCATAAAAATGCTCCAACAAGCAACTATTAGTTATCTTGAAACAAATTTAAAAAATCAGCAAATAAACAAGTTATAGAAAAAACCAAAATGTAAATTATAGAACAGAAAAATACAACCACCAAAATAAAAACCTTTCTGAAAAGGCTCAATATTAGAGTGGAGATGACAGAAGATTAGAATCAGTGAACTTGAGGACAGATTAATAGAATTTACCCAATCTGAACACCAGAGAGGATTTAGAAAGAAAAAATATGAACAGAGTCTCAGGCACATATGAAACTATAACAAAGGTAATATTCATATAATTAAAGGCACAGAAAGAGAGAAGAGAAAAGTGGTGCTGAGAAAGTATATAATGAAATAGTGAAAACTTTCCAGTTTGGGGGAAAAATGACCAAGAAATTAAAGAAGTTAAGTAAACCTGAAATATAATAAACCCTAAGAAATCCATGCTAACAAGACACATCATAATTAAACTTCTGAAAACAAAAGTCAAAGAAAAAAATCTTGAAAGCGCTCAGAGAGAAATGGTGCATTACGTACAGAAGAACATCAGTTCGAATAATAGTGGATATGTCATCTGAAACCATGGAGGCCAGAAAGAAGTGGGTACATTTTTTGAGTATTAAGTACTTAAGATACCTAAATTGAAGTTCCTAGACTTCACTCAAAGTGGTAAAACATTAATACCAATAGACTGTAATAAGTTACACATGTATATTTTAATACCTAGGGCAGCCACTAAGAAAACTATGCTAAGCAAAATGCTCAAAAACACTATAAATAAATCAAATCAAATTGGAATCCTGAAAAGTGTTCAAGTATCCCACAGGAAGGAAAGAAAAGCAAAACAGGCCGGGCACGGTGGCTCACGCCTGTAATCCTAGCACTCTGGGAGGCTGAGGCGGGCGGATTGTTTGAGCTCAGGAGTTCGAGACCAGCCTGAGCAAGAGTGAGACCCCGTCTCTACTAAAAATAGAAAGAAATTAGCTGGAATTTAAAAATCAAAATACAAAAAAGAAAAGAAAAATATTTTAAAAGAAAAGCAAAATAGAAGAATGAGAAATGGAACAAATAGAAAACAAAAAAAAAAAAAATGAAAGGGCAGGCAGTCTTAAGACAGCATGCCAATAATTACCTTAAATGTAAATGGTCTAATATATCAATTAAACGACAGAGATAGCAGAGTGCATTTTAAAACCTTATAAAACAGTATTCTGTCTATAAAAACTTACCTCAAATACAATAACATAGGAAAGTTGGAAGTGAAACAATGAAAGAGATATACCACGCAATCAGTAAAAAAACAAAAAAGCCTAAGTGGCTACATAAATGTTAGATAATGTAGACTTCAAAAGAAAGAAATTGCTAGAGACAAAGAGGTATATAATGATAAAAAGATCAACCCACCCTCATAAAACAACAGAGCCTCCAAATACATGAAGCATAAACTAATAGGGCACAAAGGAGGAACAGACAAATCTACATGTATAGTCGGGGACTTCAAATCCCCCCTCCACCAGCAACAGGTAAAACTACTAAACAGAAAATGATCAAGGATATGGAAGAACTGAACAACACAGTTAGAAAATGGGCAAAAGACACAAACAATTCACTAAAGAGGATAAACAGATGGCAAATGAACACATGAAAAAATATTCAAAATCATTAGCTATTAGGGAAATGCACAGTGAGATGCCATGACATACCTATCAGAATGGCTAAAATAAGAAACAGTGATAACATCAAATACTGACAATGATGTGAAGAAATTGGATCACTCATACATTTCTGGTGGGAATTATAGCCACTCTGGAAAAGAGTATGACAGTTTCTTACAAAACTAAACATGCACTTATTATACACCCACAACTCTTGGGCGTTTATCCCAGGGAAATGAGAATTTATGTCCACACAATAAAACTGTACATAAATGTTCATAGCACCTTTATTTGTAAGAACCAAAAACTAGAAATAGTTGAGATGTCCTTCAATAGGTAAATGCCTAAACAAACTGTGGTACATCCATACCATGGCATAGTACTCAGCAATAAAAAAGAACAAACTATTGATGTATACCATAATTTTGATGGATCTCAAGGGAATTATACTGACTGGAAAAAAGCCTATATGAAAAGTTTACATACTGCATTTTTCCATTTATATAACATTCTTGAGATGACAAAATTATAATGATGGAAAACAAATTAGTGGTTGCCAGGGGTTTAGGAATAAGGGGAGGGAAGGAGGTTATTGTGTGTATAAAAGGGTAACACAAGGATTCTTTTGTATCTTAAGTATGGTGGTGGTCATATGAAGCCACACATGTGATAAAATTGCATAGAACTAAATACACACACATATAAGTGCATGTAAAACTGATGAAATCTGAATAATGTCAATGGATTTTATCATCAATTTCATGGTTGTAATATTGTACTATAGTTATACAAAATATTAACTTTGGGGAAAAGTGGATAAAGCATACACGTAAATCTATAATGATCTCAAAATAAGACATATTTATAAAATCAATGAAACTTGGTGAATGGATGTGAACTTCTGACTACCACCAACAGAGATAGAAACTATAGATGAAAGAAAGGAAAAAAATTTGGTGGGGTAATTGATGAGTTTGGATCGGACATATTTTTCCTGAAGTGTCCATATTGGCACTCTTCACTTACCTTCCCATATTTACACTCATCACCTTCCAAAATATGCTACCTAAAAGTTTCAGCATGTATTTCAGCAACTTAGAACCATATTGTTAGAGTGTGAATTTATGAATTTTTTTTGTTATGCAAAAAAATGGTTTATGCACAAAAAGTAATAATGAACCTCTAACAAATTATACATTTTCAGGCTGTAAATATAGCTGGGGTTGGAATGTTTGGAGGAACTGGTGTAGTAACCACACCAGCAACCATACCAGCAGTAGTACCAATGTTACATGAAGTCGAAAACAAAGTGCCTGCCAAATTGGCATCATCTTGCATTGCTATTCAATGGGAAGAACCAGACTGCCATGGCTCTCCAATCACTGGATATAACATTGAATATGGAGACAGAAAAATTGTGACTGTTAATAGAGTAACAGAGTGGCTTCTGAAAAATCTACAGCCTGACACCACATACAAGTAAGTCACATATATCTTACTTTGGATAAATGGAAAGCTTTTTGAGAATTTTGAGCAGATTTACATTTGTATATTTTATATAGTCTACATAAGACTTACTTTGAAAGATCTTTTCAGCAATAATCGTCCATAGTGATTATGCAAATTCAAGATTTTTGTTTTGAAAATTTGTCTCTAATAATTAGTATAATATGTTGGTCAATAGCCTACATAGTTACTAGGGGTTTAGGTTATATGTAGAAAGTGATTTTCTTTTCTAAATATAAATCAATATATTTTAACTTTTTCTTACCACTAGAATCAGAATTCAAGCTATCAATCATTATGGACTAAGCCCTTTTAGCCAATCAATAAGAGCGAAAACCAAGCCACTGCCACCTGAGCCTCCACAACTTCATTGTGTGGTCTATGGATACCAGAGCCTCAAACTGAAATGGGGTAACTCTTCAAGCAAAGGGTTGCCTTCCGACGTTATAAGCTATAAGTTGTTAATGGGAGATCGATCTGGCAGGTAACCTATTTTTATTAGTTAATATGTATTGTAATAAAAGCGGTTTCAAATTTCATGTCTTTTTTATTTTAATAAATGTAGGGGGTACAAGTGGTTTTTTGTTACATGGATGAATTGTATGGTGGTGAAGTCTGGGCTTTTAGTGTACCCATCACCTGTATAGTGTGCATTGTACCCACTAGGTAATTTTCCATCCCTCACCCCTTTTGAGTCTCTAGTGTCCATTATTCCACTCTGTATGACCACGTATGCCCATGCTTAGCTCCCACTTATAAGTGAGAACATGTGGTATTTGATTTACCATTCCTGAGTTAACTTACTTAGGATAATGGCCTCCAATTCCATCCAAGTTGCTGCAAAAGACATGATTTCATTCTTTTTTATGTCTGAATAGTTAAAATTTCATATCTTCATCCTATAATCCAAAGTAGTTTCAATGAACTAATAGATGTAAAAGCAGCCCATTACCATGTTAGATTTAATTTCTTCAATTCTTGCTCATAATTTAGCTCTTTTTGCCTCTTCCAAAATACTTCTTCCCCTTATATAACACATATTAAGTACCAAGGAATAGAAGTTACCCAAAAAAAATGACAGCCAGCACCTTGCCACTATGGTACTTACAACCTGATGTTTTTTCTTTCTTTGTTTTACCTATATGGCTTTTTTTATTTCAGAATATTATGGGGGTACAAACATTTTGGTTACATATAATGCCTTTGCCTCACCCATGCCAGGGCTACGAGCGTGCCTTTCCCCCATACAGTGCACTCCGCATCCATTCGTTGTGAGTTTATCCACCCCCACCCTCACCTGACCAGTACCCAATGAATATTACTTCCATGTGAGCACCTTAGTATTGATCAGTTAGTATCAATTTGATCGCGAGTACATGTGGTACTTGTTTTTCCATTCTTGTGATAATACCTCACTTGAAAGGATGGGCTCAAGCTTTATCCAGGATAATATAAGAGGTGCTAGTTCACCATTGTTTTTTTGTAGTTGAGTAGTATTTCATGGTATACATATACCACATTTTATTAATCCACTCGTGTATTGATGGGCACTTGGGTTGTTTCCACATCTTTGCAATTGTGAATTGTGCTGCCATAAACATTCGGGTGCAGATGTCTTTATCATAGAATGTCTTTTTTTCCTTTGGGTAGATGCCTAGTAGTGGGATTGCTGGATAAAATGGTATTTCTATACTTAGCTCTTTGAGGTATCTCTGAATTACTTTCCACAGGAGTTGTACTAATTTGCAGTCCCACCAGCAGTGTAAGAGAGTTCCAATCTCTCCACATCCATGCCAGCATTTGTTGTTTTGGGACTTTTTGATAAAGGCCATTCTCACTGGAGTTAGGTGATATTTCATGGTTGTTTTGATTTGCATTTCCCTAATGATTAGAGATGTTGAGCACTTTTTTATATGTTTGCTGGCCATTATTCTGTCTTCTTTTGAAAAGTTTCTGTTCATGTTCTTTGCCCATTTATTGATGGGGTTGTTTGATTTTTTTATTGTTAATTTTCTTAAGTTCTACATAGATTCTTGTTATCAGCCCTTTATCAGATGTGTAGAATGTGTAGAATATTTTCTCCCATTCTTTAGGTTGTCTATTCACTCTAATGATAGTTTCATTGGTTGTGCAGAACCTTTCTTTATTGAGATTTTGAAACCAGTTTTAAGTTAGTTGTACAAATAGTAATTTGTATCTGTATAACTGTTGATTAATAATATTGCTTCCCTCATCTCCTTTCCCACCTCCAGATTTTCTGTCATTTACCGTGGACCTTGTCATACTCACAAAGTGCAAAGATTGGGTGAATATACTCAATACAAATTTAAAATCCAGGCATGTAATGAAGCTGGTGAAGGACCACTGTCCGGCATCTATACTTTCACTACAACCAAAACACCACCAGCCACACTTAAAGGTAAGTATTATAAGCCATGACACTGAGAGTTGCATTAGCTTGAATTCCAATAGCTCACATATAAAATTCAGCTGTAAAGTTTGTTTTAAATATTCAACAATACCAAAAGAGACTAGTACTTAGTTACGGATTCAAGGGGCAATGTAGGATTTAATGAGGCTCCTACAATCATAATATCTTTAAAATATCCTGGAGATCATCTAATCTTGACCCCCAACCCCTCTACCACCACTGCCATTTTTTATTTTTTTTATTTTTTTTTTATATTTCAGCACATTTCAGGGGTACAAATGTTTAGGTTACATATATTGCCTTTGCCCCACCTGAGTCAGAGCTTCAAGTGTGTCCATCCCCCAGACAGTGTGCGTCACACCCATTAGGTGTGTATATACCCAGCCCCTCCTCCCCCCTGCCATCTGCCCAACATCTAATACATGTTATTCTTATATGTGCACTTAAATATTGATCAGTTAAAACCAATTTATTGGTGAGTACATGTGGTGCTTGTTTTTCCATTTTTGGGATACTTCACTTAGTAGAATGGGATCCAGCTGTATCCAGGATAATACAAGAGGTGCTAGATCACCATTGTTTTTTGTGGCTGAGTAGAACTCCATGGTATACATATACCACATTTATTAATCCACTCATGTATTGATGGGCACTTGGGTTGTTTCCACATCTTTGCAATTGTGAATTGCCACCACTGCCATTTTTTAAAAGGAAGAAGCTAAGTCCCCAAAATGGTAAGTTGCTTAGCTAAAGGACACCCTGAGTCAGTGGCAGAGCCAAGATTAGAATTGTGGGCTCCTGATTCCCATCCACTTTGTCATGATATCCATTCATTGCTGTATCTTTTCTTTTCTCAAATGGATTATTGCACAAAACATAACAATTGATAGGTGTGATTAAAGCTGAAAATACGACTATATAAGCTTATAATAAGTTTAATTTCTGAAACTCTGAATATACTCTCCTTATTTGAACAGGAAAATAAAATACTGTTTATAATACATTAACAATGAGTCCAATTTACTGTCACTAGAGCCTGGGATTTGAGGATTTTTTCCTTCTAAATTGTGAGATTTAGTTATTCCATTTCATCCACACATGAGTCCAATCACTATTATAAAAATTTATCTTCAGTGTAAAGCTAACTGGAAAATATTGGAATTAAACATGACTTAGACCATAATAATGACTTGCTCTCTTCCTGACTATTGTCCTACATATTTAAGCACCATTTTCCTAAAATGTAGAGCAATTAATAACATGAAGTAAAGATCCTGCCCTACTTACTTCACACAGTTGCTATGATACTGAAATAAAATTATTATTAATATATGTGAAAATCCTCCAAATGTCTAATGTACCATACGAATACAAGAGATTATACCAGTAGGGATTAAACAAAAGTAATAAAAGTCATAATGAGATTTACTAGAAAGTCTAAACATGCATTATTAACTGATAGTTTTAATTTCTTAAACTTTTTATTACAATCATTAAGATGCCTGATGGTATAACAAAAGACTTTACAATAATATCTACAACTATATATTTCTTAGATTAAGCCTATGCAGGCTGCTTTTAATGACTATGCAATTGTATGAGGTTACAATGTATTTAAGATCCTCTAGGAAAAATGGAACTCTCTAATCTGAAGTTCTTTTTTTTTAGCACCTAAATTACATTGGCTGAATAACAATATTTGTGAGATCAAATGGGAGGCTTTGGGGCCAATAAAAGGAGATCCCATTGTTTACAATCTTCAACTCACCAGTGAAAAAGGAACTGACCTGGTAAATCCTTGCAAATTTAGTCTTTAAAAATTTATAGTTTTATACCCTGCTGGGGACTGAGCTTTTGTGAAGGAGTAAGATATTTCCGATGGATGTTTAAAGTAACTAAATGTTATTCAAAAGTCCCATCCAGTCCCTAAAGTTTATGTATATAATTACTTATTTGGGGACAATTAGCTCATTTATTCAATTAGCTTATTACTATTGAGTTATTTGGTATTTCTCAGTTCCATCAACTACAATGCACAACTCAATTCTAAACCTTTAACAATTGTAAGTCTTTGCTATTTCTTACATTAAACAAAATTACCTAAACAGTGCTGAGCCCTCAGGACATTAGAGACTTTGTTAGAGTAAATTTTTATTTTTATTGTGAACATGCTCATGAGATCAATAAATTCATATTTTTCCTACTGTCAAAAATCATACAATATTATTTTATTTAGTAATAAAATACAATTTTCTTTTTGACTCCTTTTCCTTTAGATTTACAAAGGACCAAACAATTCATTCTCCTTTTCCAACTTTCTCACAAATTCACGTTATCACTTCAGGGTCTGCGCTGGACGTCAATATCAAAATTCTGCTGGAATACAAGAGCTGTGGGGATCATATAGCCCCAGTGCTCTTTTCTCAACTCATAAGCATCACCCAGGGCCTGGCAAAGGCGGTGGAGGAAAGGGAAGAAGCAACCCTAAAGAGAAAGATGAAAAGCCCAAGATAGAGATGAGTGATGATACATTTGTTCTAACCCTTCTGATAGGATTTGCAGTTGTTGCCATTCTGGGTGCTGTTACAATTCAACATTTCCTAATCAACTAGACTATTGTTATGCATTTTCATCTTCTCAGGAAGTTCTAAAACAAATTACATCATATATAGAAATTGTTAGATACACCTCAACTCTTAAAAGAAAAGCTCATTTGGTAGAAATCCTTACAAACTTTTACCTGACAGTGAAAGAACTGCCTTAATATTCAAGAAATTCATTGTGACAGTAGAAGAGATTATTTTTAGGAAATAGGTCTATTTTAAATTTCATAATTTTAGCAACAAAAACACTCCAATTATTATATAAAACTAAAATCTCTAATGGAAACTATTTCCTGCCTTAATTTTTCAAAAGAATATTTTGCAAACTTTTTTGAATTATGAGAAGACATTTTAGAATTTTATTTAGAACAAAGTGGAAAAAATCAATTCTACCTGTCAACTTACATTCAATGAAATAATAAAAAAGTGTCTACCAACCTTCTGTACTGTAATTTTTTCAAAGTAATATATTCAACTGTTTGGTTTGTGCCCTGATAATTACTTTGATAGTGGGGAAATAGTCATTTACAGCACTTTGGAAGTGGAAATAGGGGAGTAGAAAGCCATTTTATACCTTTCTAAATTCTAAAATACATCCCGTGTTGGTTACCATCTAATCAGAATGATTAAACATTATAGGTGTAATGACCAATATGTTTACATGGCATCTTAAAATCATTTGCTCTTACGGTAGATGGATTCGCATCCATTTCTAGTTACAAATGAAGTATCTCTAATTTGTTCTCATAATCCAACCTCCTGGAGCTGTTTTGGCAATCTTTCAAGAGACTCTTGCCTTTATTGAAAAGGTTTAAATATTATATCTTATTTGAGAGTTTGCTCTTTGTGTTTTAAAACTTAATATCATAAATTCGAGGTGAAAGTATCCGATTTTTGTGTGAGCTAATAATTTTGGCATATTCCACGACATTGTCTTTCATTGAGTATTTTACTGATATGTGGTGTGTTATAGAATAAGTAATATAGTCAACTTAAAAATACTTTTAAAGCATTAAATTACTTAAATTAAAACACTAAAGATGTTTACTAACATGGTGTTCAATTTGGAGTTTGAGTTTAATATATGAAAAACATAAAACAGTTTTCTTCAGAAGCAGACTGTGCTACAACATGAATCCACATTTTGAAATTATACCCTCTTCATGTTAGTTGAGGATTACTGAAAATGGAAATTTAAATGTAGTAAATCATTATGTGTAAAGAACTTTTTAACACAAAAATGGTATTTTAAAACCAGCTGAAGAATTTATATTATCACTTTCTCTTTGCCTTAATCAAACATTTAATTAAAATTTTACCTGGCAGAAGACATTTTTAAAATATGTTGAAAATATCACCTCTTTAGTAATTTGCTTTTAAAATAAAATGGTAAATTACGTTGATTTAAAATATCTTTTGAAATTGATAGACTGAATATATTTTAATTTGATGAAAGTAAATGTTTTGCATCATGTATATTTCACATACCTACATTTATCAAACTGATTTGGAACCTACTATTTGCATTTATTACAATTTAACTATGATAGAAAACATTTTTAAATGCCAATAAAAGTAATAAAAATTATTCACCTACTTGCCATTCTTGAAATGGTATTTGTGCAAGTTTATTTATTGAGAATAATTATCCTTCTGATATTACATGTTTATGTCCTTCCAAACAAACTAGAAAAATTAAAACTAATTCAAGATGTTTTCCAATTTCCTTTTAAGACATTGTTTTATGAATCTTGTTTCTTAAGTCTTTCAAATTCTAGGGCATTATATATTTGATGTGGTAAGCTAAGTCTCAGGAGACTAAAGTTCTAGTCCCACCTATGCTATTAACGAATTGTGTGACCTTAAACTAATCCTTTCCCTTCTGTAGGCCTCAATTCATGTAAAATATTAATAAACAAATCTAAGTAGATAGATGATCTTTAGAGTACCTTTCATGTCTAGAAATCTATGCTGATAAATAAATCAACTATCATATCGGCACACTAAACTCAGGCAGATTAGCAGATTAAAGTCATAATTCTACATAGCAGTATAGATAAATAGTAATCAGGCATAGGTGTGAAAAGCCAAAGGAACCTACTAGCAACTATCTTAGCTAGAACTCACAGGAGTCCCTATTCTTTCTTAGACCCCAGATTTGCCTTGCTTGTTTCCTTCTCCAGTGCTACTCACTGATGGCTTTTTCCCAAGAGCATTGGGAAATAGAAAAATCTCCATAATATCTCAGCTACCTTCTTATCCATGAAGCAAGCCCATGACTTCTTCCTGATTGTCTAAGCATTATTTACTGCTAGCTACATGAGAAAACAGAGGGGTAAAGAAGTCTTATCAGTGATTGGCCTACCTTCTTAAAACACAGAATCACCTAAGATTTGAGCATAGAAATGCTCTTAAAGAGGAATTCTTGGTGGAAATAGAATGATGTCACGGACCAACTCAGATACCCAAAGCTTAATGCCCCTTTGCGGGGGGGTCCCATTTTGACACATTTAATCCCCAGATATGCACTGCTTCCACTTTAATACATGTGCCCAACTGGCAGTTTAACCCCCTTTCTGACTTAACTATATTATTTAATAAAAATTAGACCTCAAAAAAGTTGTGTTAAAAAACTTTCTTTGCTTTTCTTTAGCACAGTTCAGACAGTTTTAATTTTCAAAATTACTTCACTAAATACTAAGGCAGAAATAAATGAAACAAGCATATTTAGAAAAAATCAATAATTTACATATATTAGCATAATACAAAGAAATAATAAAAAACAATTCAGTATATAAATGAGAAATTTATCGAAGTGATAGATATCATAAAAAAGAACCAAACATACTGGCATAAAAACAGACACATAGACCAATGGAACAGAATAGAGAACCCAGAAATAAATCCATGCATCTACAATGAACTCATTTTTGACAAAGGTGCCAAGAACATACATTGGGGAAAAGACAGTCTCTTCAATAAACGGTTCTGGGAAAAGTGGGTATCCATATACAGAAGAATGAAACTAGACCTTCATCTCTCCCCGTATACAAAAATCAAATCAAAATGGATTAAAGACTTAAATGTAAGACCTGAAACTATGAAACTACTAAAATAAAACATTGGGGAAGCACTCCAGGACATTGAGGAGGAACTATAATCCACATTTTATACATGAGAAAACTGAAGCTGAGAGAGGTGGAGTGACTAATCCTGGGCCTTGCAGCTTTAGGTGGAGCTGGGTTTGGAATTCCTAGACTAACTCCAAAATCCTTTCCTCTACACAAGAAGGCATTAGAAATTTTCCCAGCCTCTGCTTTTGGCATGTTGCAAAGGCTCACCCAGTCTGTAAAAGTGTATAAAAATAAGAAATGCTTCTAGTGACATGAGGAGGTCAACCAAAATTTGGGGATTGCAAGGCGAGAAGAGTTAGAAAGTAGATTGTAGGCCAGGTGTGGTGGCTCACACCTGTAATCCTAGCACTCTGGGAAGGTGAGGTGGGAGGATCACTCGAGGTCAGGAGCTCGAGACCAGCCTGAGCAAGAGTGAGACCCCCATTTCTACTAAAAAAAATAGAAAGAAATTAGCCAGACAACTAAAAATATGTACAAAAATTAGCAGGGCATGGTGGCACATGCCTGTAATCCCAGCTACTCAGGAGGCTGGGGCAGAAGGATTGCTTGAGCCCAGGAGTTTGAGGTTGCTGTGAACTAGGCTGATGCCACGGCACTCTAGCCCTGGCAACAGAGTGAGACTCTGTCTCAAAAAAAAAAAAAAAAAGTAGATTGTAGATTGTTGAAGTCAGCTGTTGACTTGATATGATGAATCTCGGAAAAGCTGTGAATGTTGATCTAGTCAATGCTTCTGCTGATTTTTCTCATCCAGCAAAGCCTGTCAGTATCCAGGTATCACAAACAGAAGCCTTTACCAGAATGTTGGGACTTGTTCACCCTAAATTGGGATGCAATGTTAACAACATCATTTCACACTGCCCTGAATCCAGCCTAGATAGCATACTAATTTCTCATTAGAACAATTACTGACCTCTGCAAATCCTTTGTGAAATAAGATAGGGAATAAGAAACAAATACGATTGATAAAGAAACACAAAGAAAAACCACATCAACTCTACCAATTTTCTTTCAGGAGTAGTAATTGCACAGAAAGTTTTTGGAGAAAGAGAATAAGAAAGCACCAACAGTAATTGTGCTGATACTAAAGGGATAAGATGATAAGATGCTGCCAAATAAAATAAACTGTCATTAAAACTGGACTGACAAGAAAACTAAGATCTTATGTTTGTTCTTGTAGTAAGTGAATCAATGACCAGTTATTTGCTAAACATGAATCCTTAATGATTATTGTGATGGGGATTCTAGAAGAACACCATCATAACTGAGTCCTAATGAAGGACATTATGAGATTCTTGCATTCACTCATACATATATTCAATAAACATTTATTGTATCAAGCACTGGAGACACCAAAATGAAAAAGAACCAAACAGAAATTCTTGAACTGAAGAAATTATTGAATGAAACACAAAATACATTTCAAAACATCAACAGTAAAACAGATCAAGCAGAGGAAAGAATTTCAGAACTTGAAGACAGGCCAGGTCTTTTGAAACAACCCAGTAAGGTAAAAATGAAGAACACAGAATAAAAATAAAGTAACAAAGCCTAAGTGACATATGGGACACCATAAAGTGACCAAATGTTCAAATTTTAGATGCCCCAGAAGGCAAAGAGAAAATGACAGAGATAGAAAATCTATTTAATGAAATAATAGCAGAAAATTTGTCAAGTCTAACAAGAGATTTAGACATCCAGATACAGGAAGCTCACAGATCCCCAAACAGATACAATGCAGAAAAGTCCATGGTACATCATAGTCAAACTGTCAAAAGTAAAAGACGGAGAGAATTATAAAAACAGCAAGTGAATATACCCAACCCATATAACCTAAACATTTGTACCCCCATAATATGCTGAAATAAAAAAGAAAAA